ATCTACCTTCAGATTCTACCTTAATAATCAAATTTTGAGTATCAGTACAGCCCAGTTTCATGTGTCTCCACCTCTCCTGTGGCACACCAAGAAAGGCAGAAATCTTCATTGCTGCAGTTTTGGCCTCTGTTGCTATCTAAAGGTATGGACATATATGAAGACTTCTGTCACAACACTGATCCCATGGAATTTCACATTCCTTATTACTGCTGGCACTCTAACAAAAGCCAGGTAGTAAGTAGAGAGAGGACAAGTGTTAACTCACTTTAAGTTTCCAAGCAATTTCATACTAGCCTGGAAAAGTTCCAAACATCACTAAATGCATCACTTGGGTTTACTCACAGATAGTACCTGTGAAGGCAGATCCCGGTTAAGCAGTACTTACTGACCTAATAACAGAGGAACAAAGATTGTATTTTAACAGGAGCTCACCAATCCTTAAAAAATGCATTTAGAAAGACATTATTATTGGTGTCTACTTGAAAAACTGATCAGATACTGCAATTTTACCACACTATTAGGCTTTAAAAACCAGCTTCTGGAAGATGTATTTCTACTTCTTCCCAATTCTCTCTATGTATTCTTATATATATATATATATATATACACATATATATAAATTTATACACACAGCAAACCCGAGAATCTCAGAAAGTTCAGAGGAAATACCACAGACCACAAACTATATTTTTTAGTTAAAATTCAAATTCTTTTTTTTTCATGGAGGAAAGAAGTGTAATACTATTGTTTCATCATCAAAATAAATTTGTGAGACAGCATAACTCGCTAATAAAAAATGAACATGAGAAAATATTCATCTAAGCACAACACATGCAAATATAAGACACAGATGCACAAATGCCTACAGGGCATTTATATATATTGTGTGTATATATTTATATATATTGTGTGTATATATTTATATATATTGTGTGTATATATTTGTTTCCTGAATAAATTAAATGCAGTATTTTGATCATCCTTTGCCAAGTCAGTTAACGATTTCCTAATTTCTTACCTAAGAAAGTGATAACTTCCAGATTTAGCTAAACTGAATTTGTTTCTCCAACTAAAAGCCTTCAGGAAAGTTGATGTGCCACAAAAATAAGATGAAGGAAAGTTGAAGCTTTCAAGAAGAGGCAACTTCCATTTTTTTTTGTTTTGGTTTGGGTTTTTTTTTTTTGGTAAAAGCTCCCAACAGAGAAAAACTACTTAATGCATCTGGTGTGTGCCACTTAAGTACAGATTATGCACATTCAACCTCTGAGAGCCCTTCCAAGGCAGTCACCATCCTTTGGTGCTCCACCAGACCCAGATGTAGAGGTGATGAACACCTGTTCAAGACAGCAGAGCTGCAGCTTTAGGGAACGGAAAGGCAGATGTACATTCACCATCCATCTTCCACCTTCCGGCATCTACAGCCCTCCCTTTGTTATTTCACAACTGCAGCTAACTTCCTACACAAGAGAATCATCCTTCTCAACTAGTTCAGCGTATCAAAACTAAGCAATTCTCAAAACCAAAACTCAGATGTTTACAGCTTTTGGCTTGTGACCCTATCCTCAACTGTTGGGTGAAAAGACATCAAACAAGTAGGGCAGATATGATGTCACTCCACTCATATCCTCTCTGCTCACTGCCCTTCAGGGCAAGTGGATTAGTATATACAGATGAAACAAAATGTGCCTACACTGCTGAAAAGCCATGAAAAGCCATGAACTAGCCCTTGTTTTGAAGTGCTCCAAAGCATATTCACATTAGAGATGATGACTAGAGAAGATGCTTCACACTGCACCTCCGACACGTAAAAAAAAAATAGGCAAAAAGATTGGGAAATGCTGAGATTTATAAAATCTACTCAGCCTTAAAGGGTTTAGCAGATCAACTGTAACTATTTCAGAATTCATTCAGACGAACTGATAACGATGCTTGACACTGAACAATAAGTTTAGCCATCATCAGGAACTGCTCTGCATGTTTTTGTAATTATTAACTGGAAGGACATTTTTTCTACCTCACCTTAGATTGCTGGCAAAAAAACTCTGAACACTGAACAGTGTATTGACAAAAGGCCAGGCTTCAAGAATTTTGGTGTAGGTATGGCAAACTCTTATCAGCAGTGCTTTTTTTCACCCCCATTAATATCATATATGTTTAAATACATCATTAATTGAAATAAAAATCACCCTCTAATTACCATATAGAGCAAACTTAATTAATATAAAGCTTTGGCACAGGTTTTTTAGTACTCAAGACAGTGGAAAACTGAGAAGATTCTGCAAAGAATCCCTGTAACAGGAGACAAAACCAAAAACCAACAGATGTTTGTAACCCGAGAAGAACCATCATGTATGAGGAGCAGAACAATCTACAAGTTGTATAAAACCAGGGGCTAGAAATCATGCAATAACTGCACCAAACTACAGCCAGCTGAGAGCACAAAAACTCTATCCTCTGGATGTTTCGAAAGCAATAGCTGACTAACCAGAGAACATGATAAACTTACATCTGCCTGTGGGGTCAAACCTTAACATACTGTGTTGGAGAACCATAAATTCAGGGTCAAAACACTCACTGTATACCTGGAAATGTGTTCCCAATCATAAAGATGATCCGAATACGAGGCAAACCAGTGAACCCAGGCTTACTGCTATTAAAGCACTGAAAAACATTCTCTTTCATGATCATTTGGAAGAGAGAGATTTCCTCTTAGTGCCACTCGCCCAGGCCACAGAGCTGTTGTTCGTTCTGCTCATTCACGAGCAGACTTTAGGTAAGTGAAACATGAAAGAAAATGGATATATCTCTTATTTGTGTCATTTGTCACTCTGGAAGTTGACACATCAGCAAATGCAAAACTACTAAAAGGAAAGCTTCAAGAGATCTGTATTCCTAGAAATGCTAAAGGAAACATTTGAAAAAGTACTTGGGATCACTTCCAAGTCATTTCCATGCCTCTGAAGAGGATGCTATCCATGTTCTTTTAATACTGTCAATCTCTAAATACAGCTTTTCCAGTTAAAAAACAAGAGACATGGATTACCACATATAATCAACCAAATAATAGCAAATTTTTGTCACCATGTCATTTCATTTAAGAAACCTACCATTTATTTCTGCGAAGATCAAACGAAATCCTGACAAAATGACTCTCCCACATGTAAGAGTCTGAATACCTACACAGTAAAACTAAGTTAGATTACACTGAAAACTATGATCCACTGAAAAGAAAATCAAAAGTACATAATACATCAGTGACCTACAAACTTAACATCAGACACTAAGTTAGCTAGATTTCCCTTTTAAGGTTACCAAAACTACAAAATTACAATCTTAAAATAGCCGTTCAAGAAGCGGGAGCATTCTATCCATTATATAATTACTACTTCGATGGGCACAGCCTTAACCATCTCTTGACATTCTAAATAATGACTCTGCCAACAGCACCTAGCTACTGAAACTAAACACACGGTAACTACCTGGCCTTTCTATTATTTCATTCTTCCTAAGAATTTAAAATTAATTAGTAGTCTAGGATGAAAACATTGTAAGAGGAAAACGTGGAGGAAAACGTTATAAACGTGGAGATGGATTGTCAAAGATGAGTTACATTTAGGGCTCAGGCTAATAATATTCCTTAATACTCACCAAAGGGAAAAAAAAAAGAAAATAGGACACCATGTACTATAAAACAGAAGTAGTACTGGAGAGTATGTCATTGGCTCGGTAACTGCATTGCTTCCGGGCTCCAGCGCTACTCTGCGCAACTTTGCTGATGTTTAAGTCACTCGCGATCCCACAACAGCACAAAAGCAGAGCTGGGCTTTGAGCTGAGCCTCTTCGTGCAACTTCCTGCACAACTCCAAGGCCCCCGGTAACTCCGGACACTTCAGAAGCCGCTCGTCCAGCAAACGCTCCCGACGTTTACGGCTCCAGGAGGCCGGTCCGGGAGCGGCGGGACGGCGGTGCCTCGCCGGGCCGTATCTTTGTTCAGCGCCGCGCAGGGTCCCCGGGCAGGGCTCCAGGGTTGCCGCCGCTCCCGGGGCGGCTCCACAAAAGCTGTGGGCGCGGAGGGCCCCGGATCGCCGCTGCCGCCCCGCTTTGTTCCCCTCTAGCCCCGGGAGCTGGACGCGGACCCGTAGGGGCCGAGCGGGGGCACCGGGCCGGGCCGGGCTCCCTCCCGGCCGGCGCCACGACGCGGGCGGCGAGAGGAGCGGAGAGCAGAGGCGGGGAGGGGAGGGAAGGAAAGGGGGGCATCCGCGGCCGGAGCCGGCAGCAAACTCCGCCCAGCTCGGCGGAGCGGCGGGAGCGCCCCGGTCCGGCGGGCTCTGCGCGGGCCAAGGCCGGGCCGAAGCGGGACGGCGGTGCCCGCGCCTTCCCTGCCCTCCCCTTCTCTCCCCTCCTGCCGGCGCCCGGCCCCGGCCCGCGGCTCTGAGTGCCTCCCTTCACCGCGCGGAAACTCCCGAGGGAGCCGGCTGGCCCCGACCGCCGGTGCTCACCTGGCGCTGCGTCGTCCCCTGGCGCGGCCGCTGCCCCGCACGGACCGGCGAGTCCCGGTCCGTGTCCCGGTCCGTGTCCCGGTCCGTGTCCCGGTCCCGGTCCCCGCGCCCCCTCAGGGCTCCCGCAGCTCTGGGGGCCCCGCGCGCTCAGCGCGCGCCGCGCCGCCACATGTGCGCGCGGTGGCGGGGCGGCAGCGCCGGCGGGGCTCGCGCGGGGGCGCTGCACCACCAGGGCACGGGCGGGCGGGGCAGCCACAGAGACACCTCCGGCCCGCCCCATCCCCGCGAGCATTGTGGGATAGGTCCTCCAGCACCGCCCGCGAAGGAGGAGGCGGGGGCGGGCACAGGGAGGGCACGTGACCTTCAGGCCCCGCCCCGCGGCCAGGAGCCAATGGGAGGGGACAGGCGAAGGCGGGGGCGGGGCGGGGCCGCGTGCTGCGGGCGGTGGCGCCCTCTGGTGGCAGAGGGGCGCGGCCGAAGGATGCGGGCTCTGTCTGTGACGTCATCTGATCGCGACAAGGGGCAGCTCGAGTGCCAACCCTTTTAATATTATTTATTTATTTTAGCATTATTATTATTATTATTATTATTTTAATAAAATTGGACGAAATGCGCACTGGAGGAAGCCCTGTGACCACAGGGGTGTGTGACGGGGCCGCGTGGGCCCGGCCCCGCAGGGGGAGGAAGCACTGCTGCTGCAAGAGGCTGACCCAGAGGGCGCGGGGTCGGTGCCGGCCGCGGCTCGTGGGGCTCACGGAAACAGTGCGGTTTAGTTCTTATACGTTCTCTTATACGTTCTTTTATACGTTCGCATAACCCGTTATTGTCAAAGCTGTTTGCCGTGTTGTCGTAGGTCCTGCCTATGGCAGACGGGAAAGCAGTTCGGTGCAGAAGCCGCTGCTGGCCTGTTTTTGGCACTGCATCACAGCCCCACCAGACTGTGTCTGCTGGGGGCTCCTCCGCACTGGCTCAGAGCAGAGTTGGGGAGAGCCCAACCCTCAGCTGAACCCCCAGGGCAACACACCTGCCATAGCAACAAACGACAGGGAAGGGGAAGCAGCGACCCCACATACGCAGGATTGGTTGAGTGTCTCCTTGTGTTCAGAATGAAGCTGTCACAGCCTGAGTAGAGTCAAATATGTGTCAGCGTTAGCCTCTCAACAATTATGAGACCTTATTAGTTGCCATGATCGCTGACAGAGTATTAATTTAAGATCAACTCAGAAGAACTAAAGTGCGAGCAGGCTGTGGGGACAGAATGTAAGAATCACAGGAAGGAATGAAAAGACTGTGTCCATTGGCAGGCTGTAGAGAAATGTAATAAGAAATAAGACTACAGACATAGTTTGGTGTGCTGATTTAAAGGTAAACTGGCAGGGGAAATGAACCCAATTCAAAAGAGATTATAAACCAGAATAACAATTTAATAAAAATAGTACAATAAATACAATTACACAGACAAACAATTGGTTTTAACCCACAAAATCCAGCTGTATAACCCAGCACCCTGGGGCATGAACAGAGTGGTGTTCGTTGGGCCCCCCTCCCTATGCTGAGCCCCACGTGGTCCCCCTGAGTCCAAAAGTAAAAGGAGAGGGAAAACCTATTGGTGAGAGTGCTGTTTGCAGTCCAGTCAAGGGTGGTGATTGCAGTCCGGTTGGGAGTGGTGGTCTCAGTCTGGTTGAGAGTGGTGGTCACAGTCCAGTCCAATTTCCAGTCCTTCTCTGGATCCCAGGAGTGGTACCAGAAGTCCCAAGACTCCAAGATTATATATATCCTCAGGTTCAGGCAGGAATACCCAGTACCTCCCTCAGGGCGGGGAGTTCCACAATAGGTGTGAGGACAGGAGCACCCTCCTATCTCACAGGCCTCTTAACACCCAGCTTATAGCCTGAGGGGTCAGGCGTGCTCTGGGCAGTTGCTGTAAATGGTCTGTTGATAACAGTTTCTGGGAAATCGCATGGAAGGGTATAGAATACACAGTTTGGGTTACACCCACACAGTGATGACCTGATCCCAGATGTTCTAACTAGGACATTTGGAAAGCACACACTTAGGAATGGAGATGAAATGTTTAAGATGAGTCTGACTTTAAAGTGATTAAGGTTAATGAACTCCCCAAATCTTCAATTGGATAATATAAAGAAAGCAATTAGGTGTTTTGAAAATTGAGATTAAACAAAGTCCTGTAATAAAACAAGTGACTCTGAGTGCTGTGCTTTGAATAGACTGACTGATGTTTCTCTTGGTAGAGCAGCATGGTGAGGAAGCAGAAGCAGAGCCATATTCACAGTGCAGCTGTGAGTACAGATAGAAGCTAGATGTGCCAGAGGAAAACTGGAACACACACGGGGAGAATAGTGTGAATGAGGGCATGCTCATTTGGAGAGGGGAGCAACAGGGACTGTGATACTAGAAATGAGTGGTATTTGGGTGAGGGAGAGAGAGCGATGATGGTAGAACTGATTGAGAGATTTGGATCACAATATGGTACAGCAAATGAGGTGAGGTGATGCTTGATGAAAGCAGGGATGAGTCAAGAGTGGGACTCCTGAGGGACAAAATGGTAGTTATCCATGAGTGGAGAAATGAGGGTTGGCATAGATCACAGAGGGGAAGATGGAGATAGCTGTGTATTTGTGCTGTGAATTTAAATTCTTAACTTGGAAATATTCTGTGCCATCCTACACAATTTACCATCTACACAACATTGCAACAAAGGCACAGGTAAGTGACTATTTATTATAAGGGTTTTTTAATGTAATAAGCCTGAATGACCCTGAAGTGGTATTTCTGGAGTCTGGAAGAGATATGGTGAGAAAATTTTAGCACAGTGGGTTGTTCTTCCTATTGTAACACTGTTGGGAGTGATCAGTTAAAGCCACCAAAATATGCTATGCCCAGGGAACAAAAGAACTGTTGATGATATAAAACTTTTGCTCTCTGATTTCAGATGCTCATTTAAATAATGAACAATTCATCTATGGAGCTTTTGAAGAGTGTAAATATATTCAAATGACATAAAAAACGTCTGAAGTGGAAACTCTGAGGGTTATTCAGAGCTCATTCGCCCTCTCTGCCCCATGCAGGGTCAGTCATGCATATGTTGTTCCTTCATTCAATCCGTTCTTCAAGATCTCTGATGGTGAACTCTCTCTTCCAAAGCCTTCTTCCTCAAGCAGTCTATTTCTCTAGTTTAAAATTTATACTTTTGGAAAGCTGTTCTGATCCGTAACTGTGATCCTTCCTGCTGCATCAGAAGCCCATATATTTATCTCTGTCCACCGTAAGCTCTGGGATCAAACTGTCCCCTGTCTCTTTGCAACAGATTTTTATTTGCTTTAGCTTTTTCAATTCCTTCTCAATCTTTATCTGAGGTTAAACAACATTACTAAAATCAAATATATGGTAAGTGCTTTGTCCATCCTATCCAAGGGGCCTGTTACTTTGCTATAAAAGGAAATGAGACTGCTTGGGCATCATTTCTTGAAAAATTAGTGTTGGACATTATCTTCTTCTTAACTTTGAAGCAATTAGAAATTGTTAGCTTGATTAGTTTTTCACAGAGATTTTTTTGGAGATCTCTCTCTCCCTTTTTCCACTAATGAATTTTTATTATTGCTTTGATTTGCAATTCAGTTTTGTCATGTGTTTATATATTATGCAAAAAAAATTAAATTAACTGAAAATAAACTAGGAGGGTTGGCTCATTGTTTCAATAATGAAGTCTCTGTATTTGGTACTGGCATTCTCATTGCTTTTTAGGGAATTCTAAAATTTTGAAATTCTACTGTGTATATGTCTATCCAAATAGGTTCTGCGTTTTCTATTTCAAGATTCCTTGGATACTTGGCTGCACTGAGAACATCATTTCAATGTTAGAGGTTCTCTTTTTTTCCTTGTTTTAAAAATTGTTTGATTGAAAGCCTGTTTTTTTATTTACATGCAGTATGTCTTTGCTTGCAAGTTTCATTGTTTGGAAATACAATATGATATTCTATAAATAAAAGTGGGATGAGTTAACTCACACTAGTGAAGAATTCAAGACTTCTGCTTTTTAGCCAAAGTAAATGCAAAAGGTTGGTCTAATACATAAAAAAAAATCTTTTTTGAGAGTATAGTCAGTCAGACTATAGGTAACTGTTCTGTTTTCTTTTTTTCTTCTTCTTTCTTTTTTCTTATATTTGTTTTAATACATCGCAGGATCCACAGAATATTCTGAATTGGAAGGCACCACAAGGATCATCAAAGCCCAACTCCTGGCCCTGCACAGCACAGCCCCAAGAATCACAAATTCTAGAAGCCATGTTGGAAACAAAGTTATTAAACCTCTGCTTTGGATCTTTGGTTGTTTAACTGGGTTTTTTTGATTTCTAACTCATTCAAAGAAATTACTCAGTTGCTACTCGTTCTACTATTCATGTTTGAACTGACTATGTCTACCATTTAGTAAAGTAAATACAACCCCCCTCTCTTGGCTTAAACTTTGGCAAAACTGAGTTTCGAAAGATGGGTGGGATCAGATCAGAAAAAATTTGACAGTACACATTTCAGAGTCACAGTATTTCACTGTCCAGGAACCATGCATCAGTGTCTGAGAGCTTCCTTTTCAACTAAGTTGTGTTCTGGCTCTGAAGATGAAGATCTTGGACAAAACCCTAGGAAATCAGACTCTCTCACTTCTTTGTGGATAGTAGCAACCCTTTGGTATAGGATTAGAGGAATCTTGTAATGGTCTTGGCTGGAATTTTTCTCTTGCTATGCCAGGTTGTGGTCACACTTTGTGCTCCATGGAGATTGAGTGGAATCCTCTGGAATACTCCCCACTGTAGAAATGAAAGATGTTATTAACAGCAATATGGAATATCTTGAAGAAGAAAAAGCAGGATGTGAGATAATTAGCCATAATTCATAAAATATAACCATATTGTTTCCTTGGCAAGAAATGGGATGGGTGTTATCTTGTCATGGAGACACCATTCTTTAATTATTCCAAGAGTTCCTGTGAGCATTTTGCAAATATCCTAGCGCTATGCTGTGACCAACCACATTTATTCACAGGCTTAAGACAAAAAATCCTTGGAGCTTTTAACACCAGCATATTGTATGTGCATACCTCGCAGTTTCTCACAAAACCCCAACAGTACACTTCTAAGCAAAAATAGCCAACGTTCTTTTCTCATTCCAAATTGTCTTCTAATTTGTGGGATGGTGACTTGTCTAACCAATTTAGCCCATTGAACTTAAGATGAACCATATTATGTAATGGTTCTTTTCATCACCCTGAACAGGCTTACTGGTTTCACTCAAACTTGCTGTGACAGGTTGTGATAAATACTGTTAAAAGTGTTGGGTGCAACCACTGCCCTTCATCTTAGAAGAACTATACGAGATGGCTAAGTACAAGCAAAGTTAAACTCAAGTTAAAGGCACACATGGGTTTGATCTCATTGGATGGAAAGGTTTTGCTGTGAGACTGTGTGTGTGACAGAGCGAGAGGAGGATAAGAGGGAATGGAGTTAAATGGTGTCATGGTTTAGCCCCAGCTGGGAACCAAGCCCCACGCAGCCGCTTGCTCACTGTCCCACCAGCAGGACTGGGGAGAGAACTGGAAAGGTAATAGCCAGAAAACTCTTGGGTTAAGTTACAGACAATCTAATGGGGAAAGCAGAAGCCATGCCCACAAGCAAGGAATGATTTCGCTGCTTCCCGTGGGCAGGCAGGTGTGCAGCCATCTCCAGGAGAGCGGGGCCCCATCACACATAACGGTTACTTGGGAAGACAAACCTTTCTGAGGCCTGTCCGTAGGAGCATTGATTGGTATTTTGTTATTTGTGTTACCTCCTAATTTCTACCATACAGCTGGACTCTATAGATGGAGGTACTGTTTTTATTGCATACCAGCACCCTCGTACATCAACAAACTTAGAAAAATATGCTCCTTCCCTATCTTTTTTCTTATTTAGGAGGAACAGGAGTCTCTGAAATCCAGCTTACCATGCCATCAAGTTGTGATCCAAGAGAAGTTAAAGAACAGGATTCAAAACAGTGTCTCCAGAAAATGTCTGTCTGTTCATACCAAGAGATATTACCTTCCCCTCCTGTCTAAGCTGTTCCTCTCCCAGAGGTTTCCATTTCAGGAAAAAAACCCCAACCACACAAAATACAAATAAATCCCAAAGTGATGGTTCTTTACAATAATTTGCCATGCAGTTTGAAGCATTGTTTCTGCTCTCTGTTGTGAGGTGGTAATCATGACCAAAATGGAAAAGCAGATAACTAGAGATGGTAATACCCTCTGAATGCTCCACATGAGTCAATCAAACTTGTCTGGGAATACCCAGAGAGGGCAAGAGACAATCCATGTTCACTTTTGGTAATGTTTTGGTGAGGTGGTGATGAGAAAAGATGATTCTACTGGATTGTTTAGATTTTGTTTAGTTCATGTCATGTTTTCAGTAAGTCTGAGTCTACCATATCAGTTTGTTGATCCTCTGTGTTGGTTGCATAACTCTTCCTCAGAGAAGGCAAAACCCAGAAATGCAGTTCAGTGTCACACAGGTGGAAAGAGGAGCTGCTCTGAGGCAGCAGCTCTCAGGGGCGCTTTCAGACCATTTCTTCTATTAACTGCTTTTAAAGTTGTGCATGTTTCTTTAAATGCATTCTTTAAATGCATTCAGCAAATGTCAAGTCCTAAGCACAACAGGCAATAATCCAAGTGACTAAAATAAGAACAAAACTTGGCCATAACTTTTAAAGAAATCATTTCAGGCTTCAGATTATTTGCTGTATAGCTCACATGAATTACATCTGCTGCCAACACCACCACCATCATCTTTTCCAAACAGCCATTTAGCTTTGTATTATTATCAAATACTTTATGTTGATAGCATAATTTGGACATTAGTGATTTACTGCACCCAAACTGGCCTATGTTATTACAATCCCAAGGCAGTAATCCCCAGTTGATCACCCAGTAGAGTCACCCGTGAGTTGCTAGCAAATGGTCCTGTACAAACTGAAGTGCTGTTCGCTATCTAATAAACACATTGTTCATAGTGGACTCGCTAATAAGGGCACCACTAAAAAAAAACCCTTAATCATATACAATACTGCTGGAGTATTTTTAGTGCATACTAAACAATCTTTATACCGAAAACAAGAACTAAGCATCCACTCTACTAAAAGTACTACACCCCACTTAATATACCCTGAGAACAGTATTTTCAAAAGTGTGTTGAAGTAAATTATTTCTGACATTTCCCCCAAAGTAGCACTTCTGCTTGTCTACAGCTGCTCAGGTTGACGTTATGGAAGCAGGCAGCTAGGTGGAGAAGTTGTTAATGTTACGGTGCTCATGCTCATGCAGCCACCATCGAGGCTGCACTAGAAGAGGTGTTGGCTTTATGCACTGAAAAGAGTTTTGTTGAATTGCTGAGATTACCCACAGGTCATAAAATTAAGCAGAAATGTAATTATTTCCTAGGTCCATCATCAGATGCCTTGGGTTTTTTCTAGGGTGTTTTGGTTTATTTTTTCTTCCATGGTTACATTCAAAATTAATTTTAGCACTTAAACTAGGATTTTTTTCAGTGAGACTTTTTCACCTGAAGTTCGTTAGTCCTTTGAATTTAAAATGCTGAAAGAAAAATCTAATCAAAACTCTAAGCACCTTCATACCTGTAAATATACCAAAAATTAGGGAATTAACCTTCCCGATGATAATTCAGTGAGTTGAGCAGCTTCTGATATGCCCTCTGCTGCAGTCTCAGGGCTCCCAAGCTGTGGGGCATCCTGCATGCTGTAAGATCTCTGTCACTGATGCTCTCAGCTCTACATGGCAGACCAGCGAGAGTGCCATGGTGTGAACACGTCACCCAAGCAAGGCTCACAGGACAGAGAGGTGAAAGACAAATTCTGGAGTAGTGTCTGAAAGGAAAATCCATCATGTCTTCAATGGACCCAGAGCTAAAAAGACAGACTGGGTTGAAACTATCATGCAATGTCAGAAATCAGTTAGCCAGCTGTTGAAGAAAGCAGCAGCATCTTAATTACCTTCTTCCCCCAACACCTTGATGTTACCATAGACCTGTTTAGGTGGAGTACCTGCAGGTAACTGCCCTCATCTATAACAACTCCTTAGTTGTCCTTCATGATCTGTGTGTGCTTTTTACACTGGATATATCCTTGTGATATACCTGTACAGGATGGTCATGTATCCATTTGTGTATCACAGAGAACTCACAGAATCACAGAACAGTTGTGATTGGGAGGGACCTCTGAAGGTCATCTCGTCCAATATCACCTTACTCAGGCAGGGCCATTTAAAGTGGGTTGCCCAGGACCATGTCTAGATGGCTTTTGAATATTTCCAAAGATGGAGACCACAGCCTCCCTGGGCAACCTGTGCTGGTGCTTAGTCACCTCTCACAGTGAAAAAGTGTTTCCTGATATTCAGAGGGAACCACCTGTGTTTCAGGTTTTGTACATTGTTGTGGGTCCTGTCTCTGGGCACCACTGAAAAGAGCCTAACTCTGTCTTCTCTACACCCTCCCTTTAGGAGTTTGTACACACTGACCCTCCTCTTCTCCTGGAGGCTGGACAGTCCCAGTCTCTTGGCCTTGCCTCATATGTGAGGTACTCCAATCCCTTCATCATCTATGCAGTCCTTTGCTAGAGTCTCTCAAGTAGCTCTGTATTGCTCTTGTAGTGGGGAGCTCAGATCTGGATACAGCACTCCAGGGCTAAGCTGAGGTGAAGGATCACCTCCTTCAGCCTGCTGGCAATACTTTGCCTAATGCAGCCCAGGGTATACCTTCTTTTCAGCAAGGGCACCTTGCTGGTTCATGTTCAACTGTGTCCTCACTAGGACCTCCAGGGCCTTTTCTGCCAAGCTGCTTTTGAGCAAGTATGGGGAAAAAAAGAAAAAGAAAATGGTATGAAATTAGATGAGCTGTTCTGTGAATTTCCAAATTTATGAAAGAACTAAGTAGATCCTATTAATGCTATCTTCCCAGGTTAGTGAAAAGGAAATGTTATAAAGTTTTAATGAAACAGCCACATTTCTTCTGAGAGAGCACATTATATATTTTGTAGCTAATAATAACACTGAGCTGTTAAGGGGAGTCAGTAGTGACCTATTCATTTTGACATTAAAATTGTGACTGAATCTTATACCTAATCTGTGGCAATGCTAGTGTTTCAAGTATTAGGGTACAGTGCCCACTAACATTCTAAGCACATAGTGTAAGAGTATTTATTTTTGCCTACCAAATTCTTTTCAGCGGCTTTAAAGTCTATAATACAAGTGGTAAAG